GGGAGGTTGGGCAGTGTGTAATTTTTTTGTAAAAGGGGGGGGGGGGGGGGGCAACAGCTCCCCTGTATATCCCTTATATCACTATCTATCATATGTATAGGGCTGCACCAGGGGTTATTTATCAAAGTTCCACCGTGCGTATAGTCGGGTGGATGCCTTTCGCACGGCACTAGCACCCTATACTTATCAATGCCATCTAGGGGTGCTAGTGCCATGTGAATGGCATCTGCCTGGCCTACATTTATAGATGAGTCCCATAATGTTTACTGAACGTGATACTACAGAAAATGGTTAGAGACTGTGGCCATGCTATATGAGAAAGTTGGAGACTGCAGGCATGGCACAGGTGTGGTTGGAGACGGGGGGCATGCTGAAGGAGACAGTCAGGGACAAGTTATATGAGACTGCTAGGCATAACTCCAATCACAGTCCCTTTACAAATCAGTGCTCCCAGGTTTTTGCACCATATAGTCCTCTTATAAATTACTGATAACACATTTGTTTTTCCTATTGGTATGATCCATTAAAAAACGCAATAATAAGCACTAGTAGGAGAAAATGCTGACTATTGGCTGTCTGGGCCTAATGATGCAACAATATGTACCAAAGCCCCACAGAAAGCTCTCTGGCCAGAAGCATGACCCAGCAACGGGGTCATGTCATATGAGCACTAAGAAACCACTTAAGGGTCTATTCACTAAGCTGCCAAGGGCAGCCGAGTGAACAATAGACTTGAGCGCCGTCAAAAAATTTGTTACGTTTTGTTTCGTTCCGTTTCGGAATATCCGTTATTTCGTATTTCGTAATTCGTGTCCGAAACTCAATTCAGATTCGTATGAAATACGAATTTTCGTTAGTTCCGGCACATTTTCGTAACTGTACGAACATTCGTTATGATGAAGTTAAAAAGCAAAAATACCTTTGTTAATATTGGAGTCGATGTGGTAGTTGTTTTTTTATCCAAAATACGAATTCCGTTAACGGATTCCGGATCCGAATTTCGTATTTGGTATAAAAAAAAACTACCATCAACTCCAATATAAATGTACTTTGCTTTTTAACTTCAATATAACGAATGTTCGTAACGGAACGAAAATACGTCAACGGAATTTCGTATTTCCTTCCTGTATTGTAATGCAACTCTCAGCAGCAGAAGAGAAAACCTCTGAATGGTGAACCAAACGAAATACTAATTCCGTTAACGGATTCCGGATCCGAATTTCGGATTTAAAAAAAAACTACCATCAACTCCAGTATATTAACAAATGTACTTTGCTTTTTAACTTCAATATAACGAATGTTCGTAACGGAACGAAATTCTGTCAACGGAATTTCGTATTTCCTGCCTGTGTATTGTAATGCAACCCTCAGCAGCAGCGGATCCGTATTTCGGATTAAAAAAAAAATCTTGTCATGTTGTTCAACCTCATTTACAGGGGTAATATTAGTTCCTGTTTCAAAGAAATTCGGATCCGAAATTCGTTAACGGAATTTCGTATTTCGGATATAATTCGGAAACTGCAATTCGGATTTCGGATGCTTCCGAATTTACGAATTTCAGGAAAATTCGTACGAATTTCGATTCGTAACGAAACGAATCGCACATGTCTAGTGAACAACCGACCCCAAGTGAAGTGAGCCGAACACTGTTCGGCTATTCACTTCAGGGTTGTGCGGCTGAAATCAGCCATACATCGGCTTGCTTCGCATTGGTTTGGGTCGGCCAAACATGCTCAGCATGTTCGGCCAACCTGAAGTGCAAAGGGAGTTCGACTCAGCCGATCCAACATGTGGATCGGCTGAGCCGAACCTCCGGCAGTCAACTCGCTGCTGGCCTATTCTTATAGATGCCGAACAGCAGTGAGTGAATAGCCGCATTCGGGCGGCATTCGGCTCCACTGTCCTCAGAGGGACCGAGCAGAACAGAAAAATAGTTTAAAAAGTACAAAAAAAGTAAATAGAAAACGATTGTGCAGAGCTAGCAATGACAGCTAGCTCCGCCCAACAGTTTTCTATTGGCCACCCAGGAGAGAAACACTGCTTTACTGTTACCTATGGCATGGCTCTATTCTCTGGCTGCTCCTTCTGCAGCATTCCAGGCCAGCAAGGGAGCAAAAGCCCTCTTGGGCATCTAAAGTGATGCTTGGACTGCAGTTTTTGTTGTTACAGCACTAAGACTAATCATGGGCTTATAGTAAAAACAGACTCCCCGGCTTAGCAGCCAGTTGTCTACATCAAAGAAAGCAAGTAAGCAATACGACTTACTAAAATCCATGAAATTTGTATGGTTGACCTGTAGGCTATTGTTAATTCAACAAAACTAGAGATTCCCTTTAAATAACAAATGTCATAACAACTCACATGCAACATATTGTAATAGGTGGAGTCATCAGGGCTGCTTAGGGTCTTCGGTTTCTGCCTCCTCAGAGCTCTTTGTGGCTTGAGATCATCTAGGTCTGAGCTTACTGAACAAAATAAAAAATATACATCATATATCATTTGCAGAAACATCTTGTTCACATTATTTTAAGTGAAATGGCACTATTAGTCTCACAAGGTGGATTGCCAGTGCAGGGATATCACAATCCACATCATGATATTCATTTATAATGTTCATTTATTTTTTTCAAAATACTTTATTCATTTTCAAAACATAACAAAGGAGATCATAAAACAGTAGAGAAATACAACACAAAATATGTTTGTCTATCCAGATAAGTCAAAGGATCAACTAATACATAAATTGTATGATGATCACTGTACTAATATGTCATGAGGGAGAAAATGATTAATGGATTTACTCCATCATTGTCTAGTTACTGTTACTGTCCCACCACACCATTAATTTTCCTTTCACATTATCATTATCATTACTATTACTATCTCCGAGAGGAATCATCCAATAATTCCACTTTTCCCAGAGAAGCCTGAAGTTGTTCCTCCAAATATCAACTCGTGAGTCGAAAGGGGTATGCCAACTCCCTCAATTCATCATCCGAATAGTGATATATAATGAAAGGTTTCTATTTATTGAAAAATGTTTTAGTATAATGGTCAGGGTCAAGAACGGCCACCAATCTTTCTCTCCACATGAAGGTCTTTACAGTGGATATAAAGTTAAAATGTTCATTTAAAAAAAAAAACTACTTTCTACTCTATCCAAAATTGAAAAAAATATTTTTCAGGTTCATTTATTTATAAACAATTTGTCTTGCTAATATCTGTGGACATTCCTTTTGTGCGAATAATGGCAAAGACGAATGTTCTTAATATATTTTATTTTCAGGATGAATGTATTGTAATGTGATACTGCATTATGGCCACTAGATGAAGCAGAGGAGCATATGAAATAAATACTTAGGGGGGTTATTCACTATGGAGCCGAAGGATACAGCCGTAGCCTCGGCTGACCCTTCGGCTCGCTTCAACCACCTAAGCCCTTCAGTTCAGTGGATCCGAAGGGCTGCTGTACAGGCTATTCACTATAGCCCGTACAGCAGCCGAAGGCAGCTGAGCCTAAGGCATATGCTTCGGCTCAACTGAGCCGAAGTGACAGGCGAAGCGTGGAGAAAGGTCGGCCGAAGGGTTAACCTTTCTCTACGCAAATGACAGCTGGGCGGAGCTAGCCATGATCACTCCACCCAGTTGTAATGACAGATCAGGGTCCCTAAATGAATTGGGGCTGCTGATCTGTCATTAAACAATAACAACTGGGCGGAGCCAGCCGTGACGTCATGGTTGGCTCCGCCCAGTTTTTATTCATTGGCCGGAACTGCTAGAAGACTCTGGCAGGTCCCGGCCAATAGGAAACAGTTGGGTGGAGCTAGGTGTCACCACTAGCTCCGCCCAATTGTGTTTTTTATTTTCTTTAAAATATTCTTCTTTTTTTTCTTTTTCCTATTTTTTTATCATTGTTAAAATAATTTTTCAACTTTTTTTTTTTCATTCCTTTCACTTCTCAATTCTGCTCGGTACCTCGAAGGTACTGAGCAGAATAGCTGAGCCTAAATCCGCTCGGCGGCATTTGGCTATTCACTCACTGCCATTCAGCCCCTATGAGAATAGCCGGATCCAGTTGTTGGCTGAGTCGAACTCCTTATGCACTTCCGCTCTGCATGTCCGAAGGCAACCGATGTACAGCTGATTTTAGCCGATGTATGACTGAAATCAGCCGTACAAGACTGAAGTGAACAGCGTTCAGCTCACTTCACTTCGGCCGGGTTATTCATTTGGCTGCCTTTGGCTTTGGTTTTGTTATGAGACTTAGCTCCCTGTGCACATGATGCAGTACTACATCACAATACCTTCAACCTGAAGAGAAACTATAGAATGATGCAGAAAATGAAAGTTCATAGATTATTGTATCATATCGCATCGTACTATAGTTTCTTTTCAGGTTGAAGGCCCTTCTCCCAGCAAATATCTATGAACGTTCATTTTGTGCATTGTACTATAGTTTCTTTTCAGGTTGAAGGTAGTGTGATGTAGTACTGCATCATGTGCACTACAGGTAGCTAAGTAGCATAGAAAATAAGTATTTATTTCATATAAATAGTTCATAAATAGACAAAATATACGTGTATATTTTAATTTGTACTTCCACGTATATCAAAACAGATGACATCTCTGCCTAAATTTCTCCACAGTCATCCTACTATCTTTTTTTCCCATCTGCTACTGTTCCCCTGAAAAAAAAACCCCCTTTGCTAATACTGGCTGATACTGTATTGAGTGAAAGCCTCGGGTGTATGAAAAAGTCGGTACAGAAAGACAAGGCAGTCAAATCATCAGCTCTGTATGTAGTACAGGCTCTGAAGAAAGCACTTCATCCAAGAAGAACCTGGTTGCTGGAGGCCTGTTACAGTTTCCAGAGAAATGTAGCATTCGTCAGTAGCGTTATTCTTTACATTTAGATATAGTGACGTGAAGAGGATTGCCGGGCAACATGACAGGAAATGTTACATGCCATTTGTGACCTTGTACTCCTTCGCTGTGTGTAATTTTCCACTGTGTGAAATGTAATATACATTTTTTGTGGTGTTCTCTGAAAACAGCTAGCTTTGTTCTCATAGTGTGTCCTTTTTTTCAGTAAGAGAAAGCATAATTGAAGATCAAACATCAAACTAATTGGAGGGCTTCTAGTGTATTTACAACTCTACAGTAGGTGTCTATAGGATGGTTACATAGAAACAGAATGGGCATAAAGGAAAGCTTTTTTACCGGTGCAACTATGTATAATTTATTATCCATCTCAGATTCATATTTTTTCTCTTCATTGGAGATTCCAAATGGGATTCCGTTTTTTTTTTTAAAAGTAGTTTTAAACTCTCAAACATTTTTTCAATAATGAATCCAGATCAAACAAATATACATTGCCCAGCAAAGTATTTATTTATACTTTCGACCAAGCACTTGTCATGTTTCCAAACAGCAGACTCCAACTCTCTCAGCTTGGCTTCCCTGAACTTCCTGTCCAGTACAAGATCACAAGGGACAGAGCAGAATCCAGCAGCTATCCATCTACTTGCTGAGAGAAGGGAGGAGAAAGGAAGGAGGAAGGATAAGTGGGGAACAGTGAGCCATAGAGTGGCTTGCCTTGCTGTGCCTGTGTGTGTGTGTTCGGCCCTCTTCTGCTCACTTTTATTTTCTTTGTTATTGCATACATTGAACACTAAGCTTGTGCACAGCCCACTGCCTCAGCTACAGAAGGAGTGATTCAATTGACATTGAATTGACATTGGAGCTGCCCACTTGGCACCACCACCATACAAAGAACACCTTGTATAAATTTCAATAATTACAAGGCTTTCTCTGATTGGACAAGGTGGAGAGGAGGGGCGAATTATGTCATGATCTCCTCCTTGCCCAATTAAATAACGCATTGTAATGACAAACAAGTATCGTCTTAGCGAACCTGCTGCTAGAGGTCAACAAATCAATAGTGACATAGTCGCCCATCTGACATCAACCTTACTGAACAATATATTTTATGGATATGCACTTTGATCCAGCTTGGCTCAATTGGCGTATTCATATCTGATCTCTGGACGGCAGCAGATGCTAACAATCACTGTAGCAGTACTCTTCTGGCGGTGGCTCCAGCGGCTTCTCCTCTGCACACTGAGCACAGGGAGTCGCTCGTTTGGCACTCTTGCCATACAGAGAACACCTTGTTTCAATTAATACAAGGCTATTTCTGATTGCACAAGGTGGAGAGGAGGGGCAGATGATGTCACAATCTCCACCTTATCCAATGAAAGAACGCCTTGTATTCATTGAAAAAAATACCAGGCATTTTAATGGCGGCAGTGCTGAGTGAGCGAATCCCTGGGCTCAGTGAGCATAGAGGAAGCCCCTGGAGTTACAAAGGATCATGGCTACCACTTTATGTTGTGTGGACTTCTACAGTGATTTTCAGCATCCCCAGCAGCCTTCCAGAGATCAGATATTGAAACTTACATTGAGCCAAGCTGGATCAAAGTAAGGATCCATAAAAGTTAAATCCTGGAGTTCCGCTTTAAGGTAAGTAAGCTATCGTAACCAGCCACAAGTCACTCTGCTGTCAGGCCAGTACAAAATGGATTTTGATTGGGTGCTGCTTGGTGAACGCAATTAAGCATTAGTACTTGTTATTGGACAAGGCATCTCATTGTAGTTGATTGAATTATGTGGTAACAGTACGACATATGATACCTTCTACTGTATCACAACACATCGCCAAAGTTGTGCAAATGCTTGGAAAGTCTTGAAAGTGCCTTCTGAGTCACTGACACAAAACAAAGATGTATCTCAGGAATTCTGAATTCACTCTGATTTGCTTTTTGCCATGGTTACTTCAGGTCAATGATACAGAAGGTACTGAAGTCAGAGACAGTCAGCTAACATTTCTTTAGGAGGTCAGTAATGGCAGCCCACTTATTTTACTTATGACAGTTGTCCTTTAAACAGTAAAAATGTCTTTAGAAGTCTCCCGAGACAGATGAGAGCTGCGCTGCGAAACAACAGAGGCTATTTAGTTCTTTAGGCAAAGACAGAACAAAGTATGCAAATCACCTATGGCATTTAGTAAATCTGAAAAAGTGGGCCCAGGGCCAGAAAGGACAGGTTTACAATCATGAAAAAGAGGAAGTGTGTTACAGGTAGAAAATGTTCTGGAAACATAATAAAATAACAGAAGCACTGAAGCCGCAGCGGCAGTGACAGATGAAAAGCACGTTTGAAATATAATTATTATACGGGAGTATGGATAAGTACACGGTGAACTGATATTTTAGGAGCTTACTTTATGAAAAAAATCCAAAAAGAAGTAAGAAACATTTGTGAATAATTTTAATTTGAGCAGCGGTGATTCACAGCTTCACACAAAGTGCGATGACTAATGCCATCCATGATTACTAAGCAAGGCCAGCCATCCCCCACAACCCGCAATTAGTGGAACTTGCTGCT